AAATCTTTTTGCTATGTTTGTAAATATTGCCTAATATGGAATAGAAAATAAAGTTTGGGCATGTTTTTAATATGGTATGTAATTGTGTTGGAAATAGGGTTTATTTCCTATACCATCTCTTGTTTATCAAGATAGCTGACACTATAAGGATCAATTTAAACCAACATGAAACCATCTCAACTTTAATATGCAACTTGTTGAAATCACAAATATAACACATATCTCCAACTGTAAAAAAAAAAAAAAAGGTTTAAAGAATAACAATAAAATTATGGTCTCTCCCCGCTTCATCATAAAAACCAAAACCAAAAACCCAACCTTTAAAAACCATAGCTACAAACATGGCCATATGTACTGACTGTGTTTAGGAAATAGAATATAACCATTTACGATAACACAACAAAAATCCTTCAAAATGGCCAACAGATTAGCTGAAAGTATTCAGAATTAACAATCATTTGAACAATTTCTATATGCCCTATTTTTGAATTTAGGAAAATTCAGTAATGGAAGATTCAGTAATTTTGACAAGGTAGGAAAATTCTGTAACTATGAAATAAAAGTCGATTGAAAAATTGATTTTAGGGCCATTCTGAATTGGGAATATGGGTCTAAGCCAACCTTCCCTGAAAATTGCGGGTCCAGATAAAACCCCACTGCTGTAGCCTGGTATCAAGCTCACAACTCTTTGGGTCTAGTCACTGTATCTAACCTATGTCTTTATCCACTAGGCCATGTGTCCTTGAGGACCTCTGCATATGAATTTCTGGGACTTATAAACCTAATGTCTCAGAAATCATTTTTTACCAGTGCTCATATTGCAATTTTTCTGTTATTATTATTGCATATTTTTTACCAGAGCTTATATTGCAATTTTGTGTGTTGTTATTGCTTTTTTCTAGCACTCCTTATTACTGGTTCCCATATTGTATTCATTTCAATGCTTGGTTGGCTCAGGAGATTTTTGTGGCCTAGCATAACATTAACAGGCTACAGCAGTGGTGAACCAAAAAAATTACAGAAAAAGTAACTGGCATGTGGAGCTAGGACAATCTACCCTGGTGGATGGTTCAGTTTGAAATTCCAATCACCTGAAGAAGGCCAGAGCATACAACGGCCAAAACATTGTGAATATGGCAATGAACATGGGGATAATAGTCCGAATAATGTAAATAGCTTTTACTTCCAATGTTATTTGTAGACAAATATGCCAGAAATTGGCATGACCTCATGAATTAACCCCTTTTCCACAGACAGAATGTACAAACCTCTGTTCTTCAGTCAAACTACATTCTTTAGTTGCTCCAGTTCTGACCTTCACAGCTGCCATGCCAAGCACATTGTAATGAGCCACCCCCATTCCCTCCATATTTCATTGGTCAGATGTAATTTCCACTCAAACAGCTTCTTCCCATGAACCACTACTTTATGGAACCAGCTACCAGGAGGGTGCTTCCTTGATTATTACAATCTTGAGTTAACTGTCGTCTTCTCCACATATCCCCATAAAGTGTGTCCCACTTACCTGTAATCCTCTACCTCAAGTGGCATTTGGGTATTGTTGTAGGGAACAAACTGATAACCCTTAGAATACAAAGAACTGATACACCTCTATTAAATGGACTGTTCCAGTAGGAATATAAGCATCAATGGTGTTGGTCTCTGGGGTGTGCTTTCCAGCTTAGGCTTGAGCAAGCACCAAAATGTTGAACTCTCTGCTTTCGGGCAGAAAGGAGCCCAGATGAGTCTATAGCAAAGGGCAGATTCTCGTCTTGGGAGGATGACAAACCTAACCTCGTGTATGCAGTGTCTACGGGGAACTTGTGCTCCATCTTGCCTCATTGGGAGGTCAGGTAAATACCAGCTTGCTTTCCAGCTTCAAACTTGTAAATATCCATTTGTATTGTTCTTGTTTAAAATAAACCCTTATACTTTGTAAGTGGCTGTTCTAGTTATTATTTCAATAACCACCCCAGAAAAAGGAAAAGTTTATCATTGAGACTAGAATTATGAAAATTGGTTCCAATCAGCAAAACAAATCCATAATTCTCTACGTTTCTCAATCTCAAATATGCCACTCCTCATCAGATCCAATCCTCTTGAATGAGCATATCATACTGTTATGAACCTGACCCAGCCATCGCTCAGCCAATGAGCACCCAGAACCAGTCAATAAAAATGGCTACAAGCGACACCACCACTTCTGCCCACATAAAGTGCTGCCCAATTCACCTTCAGTCTGAAGCTTGCCACACTCCATTGCAAAACATACATGTGACTCTGGCTCTTTTGGGTCACTGAAATAAGTCTCCACTACATGAATGATGCCTGTACCATTGGAAAAGTTTAAACCATCAACTGAAGATATTCTCTCTAATTTGACAATGAAACATTAATTGATAATATCTGCCATTTTAATGGGTCAGAATTTTTGCTCCTAAACTGAAACCTACATTGGCAGACATTCAAATCCTAGTATTTTTTACTAAGCTAATTTTGGTTCAAAGAAAACACCTTTCATGGAATATCTTGTCAGAAATTAAACCTACAAGGAATGGTTTGAGAGTTTATCATATTAACTACTGCTTTATAATGTTGGATATAATTCATATGTCTCAATTAAATACTGATTTCAATGACCAGACATTACTTTGTTAATGTTCTGTTCAACTTGTTCTGTTTTCTAAAACATGAATATACAATGCAGTTCAAAAGAGATTGTCTCTTTTCAGTTTTATACTAGTTTAGTAGCCTAGCTTTACTGATGGCAAGATGATCAAATTTAATATCTAAATTGTTTGTCAATTTAAAATACTATATTTATTAGAAAATATATTCAGTTTAAATACAAAAGGGGTCATGAAAATGACTTCAATGGACTGTCGTATACTTTTTTCTTGTTACCCAATGGTTGTTGCCAAACAGAAAGGAAAATTAGCTCTTGTGACACAGCTGTCTATTTCACTTTCATTGAAATTGTGTGTGTATGTGTTTTTTCAGGCATATATATTTTATTTCAATGACAGCCTTAAAATATTTCTGCAAAATTGAAATTTTTAAAATAATTTTCTTTATTATGGAATAATTTCAGAAAAGTTCAATAAAATCTTTTAATTATTTGATTCTTTACTAGGGTTTAAAAAAATAACTTATTTTTCTTGTCTCTAACTTTGATTCTATTATTCAGTATAGGGTAGGGTTGTTCAGACTGAGTGGGAGGGGGGATGTATTACTGTACATACTCATGTATAAGTCTACTTCATGTATAGTGTGAACCATGAATTTTTTTGGTGAAAAACCTGATTTTCTTTCATATAGCTTGTGTATAAAATGTGACTCCAGCTTCTGATCAATACTTAGTAAGCCTACTGTAGTCAAATATTGCAGTAATGGGCATCATCCTGGATATATTTCATAGTGAATAAAGGGTCTTTATTCTTTTTTGTACAAAGCTACCCAAAAATTGTGAAAAAAAACACTTCCCATAAAATATCTGATACAAAGATATAGGTACCATACTTTTGTTTTGGTTCATGCCTGACAATGATAGCTTCCTTACCTTTGGCCTGCCTCTTATGTAGCCTATGTTTCTTCCCTTCTGTCACTACAAGAAGATCAGGTATGTTATGGTCACCGAAGATACATGAATTTTAATGGGGCCAGAAAAAATTACCTGTATATAGTGCAAACCCTTGTTTTTTGCATAAAAAAAAAATGATCATAAAAATTCTCAATATACTCAAGTATATGTGTATGTGTATGTCTTATTTCAAAACATATGTGTATGTCTTATTTCAAAACTCAGTCAAATTGTGTGTGTGTGCATGCATTAAATGACAAAACATGCAAGTCACTTACTCAAAACATGAGTATATGCAACATACATGCATACCAAGTTATATGCAGGCAGTCTATGACAGATTAAGCTCTTCTTTTATGATATAAATTCTTGATAAAAATATTTGAATCCCAAGAAGACAATGTTTCTTTTTAAACTGTTGTGCCATGCATACTTTAATGTAAGTACTTGCTCTCTCTGTAATTATTAGTTAAATTTTTAATTGAATTCATTCCTTTTATAGAAATTTTGAAATACTTATTTGACTTAGTTAACAAATTATGAGTTAATTAAAAAAGTATTATCAATGCAAAACGTTTGGAAAGCTCCAGATAAAACAATAGTTAAATTTAATTTTCACAGAAAGCAAAGATAATATGGTTAAACTTAAAGATTGCTATGATCATCAATTTACCCCTTCTTGCTAGTGTTAGTAAAACATCTTGTCTTAGTTAAAATTTGGAATAATGTTGGCATTGTAAATGTTTGTATAAGTAAAGCATATTTTAATATTTTTTATTTTAAATTAATCGATTTGGTTTTCTTTAATAAAGAAAATAATTAATATATGAAAATGTTTGTCCAAAATTTTAAAAATAAATTGCAATAAAGAAAAAAATTCCATTTAAATTAGTTGAAGGTATGTGAAAGGTGTAAATTGTTTTCAGTTTTTCAAGTCAGAATAATAACTTCTCAATGTGAACACAAATTATATAACAATTATTATCTATTATTATTCTATTAACATTTTAAATGAAATGCATTCTAAATCTCATGATTTAACAGATATCATGTTGAATTCTTTTGATATTTCTCAAGATGCCAGTCTCCTTGCCAAGCAACATGTGACTGGATGTACTGGGATATAATACCAGCTTTTCTCTTGAAACCTGTAGATTCATTTTCTATGGGTTATCAACTCTTTGCAGGTTATTTAAAGCCAGAAAATATTAGATTGTAGGAATATCTTCTTTTTTTTTTTTGAGTTAGTGATACAAATCTTACTATTTAAGCCATAACTGGGGAGAGAAGAGGTGGATTTATACTTTTTTCCCAAGAGTATTTGCAAGTAAATGAATATGACAAGCCCAAATGGAATTGGAACTTTGCTCTCCAGTTATCAATTCCAAGCCACTATCCATTACACCACCCCCACATACAGGCTTACAGCACCTGGTATTCGAAAGTGGTCATCCATCTAAGTACTAACCAGGCTTGATATTGCTTAACTTTGGTGATCATATGGGAACCAGTTTTAATGCGATGTGGCTGTAAACCACATTAATGTCAAACTGTAGTTTCAATAGAAAATAAATTATATAGGTGGAATTGTTAGCCCTATATCTTATCACTTTGAATTCTGAGTTATTCTTCTCATAAACCTATGGCCAATCAATGCTAGAGATTCAAGTTTTCCCTGTTATTTTACCTATTTTCAGAAAGTGGAGAGAAGAGATGAATTCATGCCTTTCCTAATACATTAATGCAAAGTGAACACAAACTGCCTCATCAGGAACTTGAACTCTGCTGCTTCCATTTTTTTCCATTGAAAACTGTTGGATCACCTATAAAGTATGAACAACAGGAAGTAGTTTCTGATCTCTAGGGAGAGTTAGATTTATTCCTTTCCCCAGGGCATTAGTGCAGAATGAACATAAACTACTTCAGCTATAATTTGAACTCCATTCACAAATTCCATTTCCTGTGTTTGTTAATGAGTACGCTAACTTTGCACAACATCAAAAATTATAAAAATCCTCACCTAATTTTATCAAAACCTCACCCTCAAAGCACAATTGTTGATAACCATTTGCTAAGGTCTAACAATTTCCTGTTTTGTCATTATCAAGTAAATGTGGACTTGTAATGTTTTTAGCGCAGTTATTTGAATATAATACTTTCATGTTTGTACTGAATTGGATTTCTCTTGCTTCGTTTCCTTACATAGCTATGAGTATATTAAATCTAAAATTGTGATTACTGAAACATGTAATTGTAGAAAAAAACAAAACATTAAAAGTTTGCATTTTAATATTCTTATTCATACTTACTAGAGTATAATTTTTCTTATGCACTTCTAAAACATAAGGATTCTACTTTTTTTATCTTCATAGAATCAAACAGAAGAATGGTAAAGAGGAATATTTTTCACAAGAATTATTGTCTTTCATTAAATTCTTAAATTATGGATAAATACTTACGAAAATAAACATTTATTTATTTTTTGGTATAATCAAAATGTAGTGTATAGGTGACCTGCTTGTTAAGAGCACGGAAAATGAAATTGCTGAAACAAATTCAAATTCGTGTCCATTTTGTACTAATTCTTTTGGGAAAAGGCATGAACCCATTTCTATTCCCTGCAGCTAATGTATAAAATATCAAGGTAAATCTGGCTCTCTAGTTTTGGTTAGCAACCAATCCAGAAGGACAATTCTGAATTCAAGCCAGAATTTTTCTGTTGAATTTTTTCCTGAATTCTACATCTGATGGGAAAGTGGTGATGCTTTGATGGACCTAGCAATCATGAAATGGTTTAAATAAATTTCTCAAGTAAAAACAAAGAGATCTTCCTATAGCACCTTTGTAAATTGTTACATTTACTGTATTACATGTGCATGCAAATGTAACATCTATTATGGAACAGAGGTAATACCGAATTACATACTTAGTTTGTTGATAGTTGTTTGATAGTATTCAAACTCCTTGAGTTAAAATTTTATGTGGCTTTTTGTTCTGTGGGGAAAATGATATAAAATCAATAGATAAAATAATAAGGAATACAAAAAAAAAAAAAAAAAAATTCATTTTCCCATGATGCAAGTTATAAAGAAACTAGAAAGGGTTTCTAGTCACATGTACAATTTTATGACCCCACTTCTGGAAAGGGAAGAATTCTTTTCTTTTTTTTTTCTCTCCTGTTAGCTTCAAGAGGATAACCGTGCAGTAATGGTGTTCACATTAGGGAATGTTAGCTTTACCTGGACCACTGATAACTTTTTCCATTTACCAATGGCATTGTTGAATATGTTAAAGCAGCTCTACTCATGAAGTAGAGTTTCAGTCTTCCCAACTTAGCGTGAAGCTGACTTGATCTCAACCATGTTTACTGTTTGTATCCTTACTCCCCATAAATCATTTCAGAACCAAAAGAAAAATGGACATACTCAAGAGACGTTTTAACTTTATTTCTATACAGTCGACATAAAAGGAATAAACATCCATAGCAAAAACACAAGTTTTTTTGTATTCTTCTTCTATCTTTGTTTACATATTGAACACTCACCTTCACCTAAAAATGCACACAAAACCCACAAGTCTGTTAACATCCACAGTTCTAACAGAGAAGAGATTCACTATATCACTGGACATTGAAAATATTTAACAGATCAGATTGCAGAAGATATGAAGTATAAATAATAGAATTACCTAAGCTTGGAATTGAATTAACAATGTTTATCTCTGTATTTCCTCATACAAAATCTGTGTCTTACCAAATTATCAGTGACACTTATCATTGTCCACTTTGTTATGGCACAGTGGCTTGCAAGCTACTTTTATAGGTCATGGTGAATTTCACCCTCACTGGATACCTCTCTGCTTGTCTAAGCTAAGCTTACTATATATATATATATATATATATATATATATATATATATATATATATATAATATCTGATTACAAAATGCTACTTTTCCTAAGAATCTTATGAGCCTAATTTTTGGACTAATAGACCTTAGGAAATGTTATTCTGTGTGTAATTTTTAGTGAATTACCATATGTCTAGTAATTATATAATAATAATAATATTAAATTGCCCACAGCTATCAGTGCTTTCTATTTTCAAACATTCTATCATTTGTACTGATCTTAGTAAGCATGAGAAAATAAACATTTGCAAAATTTCAGTTTTTGCTGGATTATTTTGATACAGCCTTTAAGATGTGATATTTTATTCCAGTAGCCAATGGGAAGGTATTGAAAAGTTTAATCTGTTAATAAAAACAAGAACATAAGACTCAGTCATATACAAAATAGCTTTTAATAATAGACAAAGGGGGAGGTAATATGAGGGACAATAGCGTAAATGTGCAGATATACTATATCTTGTGCATAATGCAAGAAATTTTGAAAGAAAATTAAAGGCAAGAAAATGGGGATCATATTATATACAAGTACATGTTTTCAAAAATATTTACTCAGCTTAAAAAACCTTTTATTTGAAGCAGCAATACTACAAATGCACTTATTACAATAAATAATAAAACAAAGTTGGCAGGTGTTGATAACAATTTTTTCAAAATGTAATGATGTGTTGACAATATTTGTTAATAGGGAATCAGTGTAATTGAACGTCTTTTGTCTAAAAGACAGAAAATCTGCCAAAATTGATTTACAAAGTTGATAAAGGGAATACATAAGGTCTGTCATGTTTTGATCACATGAATGTTACAACAAAGGCCAAATTATTGTATAAATTATGTACCTTTTGTGAATTTTTACGCTTGAAAAATGGGTTGATTATTCACTTGACCTCCCCCGCTAAGGCAGGATGTGATACAAGGTCATTTTTTAATCTGGGTGCCAATACACTTGAATATTCATGTTGTCCAAGGACAAAAATTTCCCAGTCCCTGTGACCAGTCATGCTGGCATCAATATTACATTGGCCCAACCTGTCAAATAGTGTAATGATGAAGGTGCTGCTACAGAATTGGAATTTCTAGAATCAGGCATCTTCTTCCATCTAAAATAAGGAGGGAACAGATACTACACTTTCATCCCAGCCAAAAGGCTTTAGAAATAGGGACAATAATATTCCTCCGTCTGTTGACACAAAGTATCCAGTTTGAAAACTTCAAACAATTTGAGAAAAATAAAACAATATAAAACAACCTGACATAATAATATCACTATGTAAATAGTTTACACTGATACTTGTAATTTTAAATTGCAAAATATTATGATAATTTACATGAATATAACATTAAGATTTTAATAGATAATATGATACAACTTTAAAAAAAATACATAGGGATAGCTGTACTATGGGGTCATTTATGCTGAAGGATGTAATTTATTCTCTGTTTTTAGTTTCAGAAACACTGGGTCAAACTCAAGTTGTATTATGCACAAGAAAATATAATAAGCTGTCAATTAATTAGAGAAAATGTTTTTAGTTTATTTTAAAAAACACTGATCATATTCATTTTTTCTACTAATTTTTACTTACTAATTTTTAATCAATGGCGAACCTCTCAAGACTTCCTGTATGTTTTTGAAATTTATGTCATATTTATTATATGATATCTTATAATGATGTTAGCTCTTAATGTTGACCAAGTTGCATTTTAAGGCATCATAATTGACAAGTGATGGCAGTTCATTTTTGAACTTTATTTCATTTTTATCTTAAATCAGTTTTCAATAGTATAGTGAGAGATTGTTTAAATTCCTTCCACTTCCTGAATTCTGCAAGCAGCTCAGCAGTTCTGTGTAAAATAATGCCTTATAATTGCTAGAACCTCTATACTTGTATTCACCATTATGACATCTGGAAGAAAAGGTAGTGCTAATTAAAACTGATAAAAATATAATAACATAATGTTGTTGTACTCTTTAAATGTATACATGAAGTAAGCATTGGAATGAAAGTACCAGGTAAAAAATACTTTTTAATATACTATTGTGGGAAGTAACACAACAACTAAACTGATAATAGCAGGTAGGAACAAAGAACCGTGAGGAGGGTAACCAAAAAAAATCCCGGTGTCGCACGTCCAACCTTCTCACGAGCCAAAAGCCTGCTTTATACAGCCGAGGACCGACCACGATTTACATGCGAATGACGAGACAAGATTTCGCGTTAGCTAACCGAGACCGCCCGGCATAAAATATGGGTGCCGCCATTTTGGTTCCTTTTACCGCTGGAGAACTGGAGTTTTGCACACCGCACAGATTCATGAGGTTTTTTTTTCCGAGGTAGGCCATTTTCACAATTTTCCCTACACTCCCCCCTGATCTCATGATCACAAACAGGGCAAGGAGGTGGCGATAAATGGCCGTCGAGTCCCCCCCCCGAAGGGGGACAACACAAGCTTCATCCTCATGCGTGTTCTTGTCTGTGGTTTGAGTGTCGGTAAGCACTGTGTCCGCCGGGAGGCTGCTGTTATCAGAATCACTGCCCTGCAGGTCTAACTCAAGGCAGATCGAACGCTCACTGCTCTCAGACTTGGAATCACTTTCATCGCTCAGTA